CAGCTGAGTTGGTGTGCCTCGATGAATTCCAGACTAAAATATTTATTTATTCTCTATGATACGGTATGTGTCGATGAGCATGCGGTTATTAATTCTGGATAATTGCCACGCGCGCCGGGCGTGATACCGCGGTGTGGACAGGCGTAATCGGTCCGTGTGATATTGGCACAGCCAATGAGAACGTGACCGACTGCTCTCACTGTGCGCCACACACGGCCAGATGATCACGGTTTGCACTTGACACACCTACGGAGTGGCCATCGTACGCCAGCATGATATGCGTGAAGTGCGTATGATACGTGCACTGCGTGGAGCTGTGTGGCACCGATCACAAGTTGGAGTGGACCAAATTATACTTATATCTTAGTAAATCTATGTATTACACTGCTGCTGTGAACGCGTACATATTTAACGTTATTTCCCTATGTATTGGTGGATGAAGCACTAGCTTACACTTGGGACGAAGTTAAATGTTTAACGGTCGAGGGTACTGTTCATCCTTCTAAACGGCAGCGAAACGTGGACGCCGTACTGAAAGGACGTCCGTTATCTGGAGGGGTTAGTGTGCGGAACAATCTCCAGCAGAGAAGGCGTGTTTCGTGCAGTACTCCGTATAACTCCGGAGGTAAGCTGACTGCTCGGATTGTTGTGTGTCAGGTGTGCATAGAATCAGCAGGCTCAGCTACATAGCCGACTAACTAACAGAAGTGAGATTGGCTCGGTTACCGTCGCTCGCACTGTCATGATAAGAAAAATGAGCGCACAACGAAGTAGGGGGGAGTAAAATAAATTAAATCTGACGTCAGTCAAACAGGATCAAAAAGAATAAAGGTGTCGGATAAAATGAATGAAAATTAACGGCAACGAGTGGAACGCGATTGCTACAGACTTCGTGGCAACATCATGGCAGATGAGATATTAAGCAATTACCGCTGCAGTCGATACCGGAGCACCCGTCTCGGAATACAGTATATACACGTATCTCATAGGAGGTTACAAATACTTTCTACTGTCTATCGCAACCAGAATGGAAATGGTGCGATGGTTTGCGTACCCGCGCGACGCAATGAGTTACGCTGGGTGACACACACAAACTGCTTACAAAGCCAAGCATACCGGGCAAGTCAATGTCTACGGATTAGATTAACTCAGTCTCACAATCCCCTGCGGGAATAAGAGAAAAGCCAAATAGCCATCTTCTCTTAAAACCAAGCCATGGGAGACAACAGGTCCATGGGTCATAAGTACACAGCTCGATTGGCGTAGATCACGAGCGCCGCACATTGTCTCTAACGGTGGGAAGGAACTTCCGGTATTCAATGTTTTGCTACCGCCCACCTCAAACCAGCCAGACCCTGGACAAATAGGTGCAAACGTGCCAACTCCTACCTGCTGACTGTGGTCGCAGGTGTGTAACATAATACGGTGGTAAATCAAGTATGCACTGTGTGACAGGCCTAAAGCGGATCCCAACGGTTCTCTGCAATCACTCCCAAGCCAGACTGTCTTATGGGTCGGACTATTGAGTCAAAGGCTAGAAGTAGGGCACGTCGAACAAATACCATCACTCGGAATGAGCAGCTGGAGAGCAAGATCTGGTCACTCAACCTCATCGACAATACATTCTACCCTTCCTCTTTTTTCTCTTCCGTCTAAATCCTCTTCATCTTCGTCTATTGAGCAAGAGACGGCCGCTGACCACACAACTATTGCCATCAATACATGTGACGCCCCCCTCAAAATGAGGGCCACATTTCATATTGATTTCTTTAACGTCCACAAGCTGGGTCAGGTCAGCCAACAGGCAGCACTAAATCTCACTCCTCACACCCTCAGTATGGATGTGCGCTGTGTCTCAGAAACACGTATACAAGATACTAGCGTTGTGACGAATCTTTGATACCTTGGTTCCGAATCTACTGAAAATACACTCATCGTGTCTCTGGCGATATTGCATCAATGGCTCAAGGCATCCACGTTGGCTGTATCGACCTCAGCAAATAAGCTAAAGGCAAACTTCTTGACCGGATATTAGTGAACAGCCGCATGTGTAAGGTTCGACTGCGAACCTCTGGAGAGGTTAATAAGCACCAACTGAAGACAAGTTGCTTTTACCTCGCCTCCGTTTATGTTCACACTGAATGCAGCCTTTAGGGAATCAAAGTCGATTTCTACGACAAACTTTCACGGCTCCATATGGCGAAAAATACTGACATGGTGATTGTTGCTGGTGACCTAAATGTCAAAGTGGTTCGTCTATCAGACGCTGAACAATAATTGGGCGGCCGTTTCGGAGTCGATGCACGCTGAACAGACAATAATGGTCGATTCATGCAACTGCGCACCGACCACAACCTTTACCTCAGCAGCACTGCATTCCAACACAAACACTTGCACCGCGTCACTTGGCGCCCACCGAATTTCTCAATGACCTGGACCCACATTGACCACAGTGCCATCAGCTACAGATGGTGCACATCCGACCAAGACTGTCGGTCAATGTGGAGCACGTGCACGCCTAACGCTCACGATTTCCGTTTCAAAGAAGTACCCACCTACCAAACCTCGCACTGGCAAGTTGAACTCGCAGTCCGCAATTCAACAATATCATGATGAACTGGACCACCAATTATCAATAATGAATGAGGTTGGTGAGGTTGACAATGACCGCGATTGTCTCAAGTGTGTCATGAAGAATGCCTTCGACGCCTGCTGTGCCCCAACTTAACACGTCGTAACCGTGAATGCATCTCTTAAGCATCGATTAATTCCATCCAGGTTCCAGTGGGCACTGAGTTTCAACCTGTCTATAACCCACTGAAACGACGCCTGACAGGGAGTCTTCGAATCGACCGGGAACGCTGGTAAACGTCAAGAGCTCGTGAGATAGAGAAAACCAGTGCTGATGGAAACAGCCGAGTGCAATTTCAGCTCATTTAGAACACGGGTCCGGTAAAGCCATCGATTAGCGAGACAAGAGCAGAGAAGGATGAACAGTTGATCCATTCTCAACCCCATCGACTAGCCCGTTGGGCACAACATACTGAAGAGCAGTTCATTAGGCTTGCGGCAACCCTACGACTTGCTAAATCACCCGCACCGACGTCGGATGATGATGACACACGTCCCAGTTTGGAAGATATTCGACTTCAGTTTCCGCCTTGAAATGAAACAATGCCCCTGGACCCCACGACTATACTCCAATTCTGGTGAAAGGTGGAAGTAAATGTTTCCTGACTGGACTTGCTTCTCCATTTAACACGATTTGGAACACTGAAGTGGTGTCTTCAGACTGGCGATTGTCAGCTGTCGTGCACAACTGTAAGAAGGGTTAGCGTACTTTGTGCGAAAATCATCGAGGCATTAATCATATGCCATTGCCTCCAAACTCACGACCAACTGGTCGTGGTTGTATCGAACACATATGTACTCTTCGCCTTGTTTTAGCGCAATAACACATTCAGACAACGGATTGTAATGGTTTTCCTTGACTTGAAAGCCGCCTTCGACTCTATTGACGGCGCCAGCTTGTGATATTGCCTATCCATGAAGGGCGCGTCAGCTAAACTCCTTTCCATTCTGAAATCTACCGTGATTCCCGAGGACGTGGAAGGATCTACAGGAAACCGTCTCCTGAGTTCCGCACAACAAGTGCGCCTCTCCAGGGTTGTCCTAAATCTCCTTTTCTCTTCAACGTTGTGATCGAAATGATCATGAATGACTCTGTTCTTTCAGACCCTAATGGAATGGAAGTTCTGCCAGGTGACTGGCTGACAAACCTGGAGCATGCAGACGACATTGCTCTCCTTGGGTCGGACGCAGTGGCTACGCAAACACTACTGCATAGAATGACGCGTAGCTCTGTATGCTTCAGCATGTGCCTTGCACATTCAGTATGCAGTACTGCTGCACCTGCGGTTCTAGCTGTCACCGAGTAGCCACTGGAAGTGTTGGATCGGTTCACTTACTTTGGTATCCATGTCACCTCTGGTGGTCACATCACTGACGGGGTTACTTCGTGCATCATCACGGCCCGTGTAGCTTTCCAGAGACTCAACCATCTATGGATACGGCTGAATATTAGCGAGTCAGTGAAAGGTAGGGCGTATAACGCTGCGCAAACCCGGTGTTCTCGTATGGATCACAAACCTGGCCAGTTTGCGGCGAGGACATTAAACGCTTGACCGTGTTTGACCACCGGTTTTCGGCGTATTGCTCACGTCTGCGAGGAACACTAGGTGAGCAATGCTGAGGTCCGCCAGTTGGTTTCTTGCAAGAACCCTTCTGGTACCACATTTGAGTGCTGAATCTTAGTCGCTTAGGCTGCCCAGGTCATGTCCTCCGTATGCCCGTTGACCGCTTTCCTGGGCGTGCATTGTACGCCGTGGTTGCACCAAGTAGGGCGAAACCGTAAAGTGGCCAGTCGATGAGGTAGAAGAGAGACATGAAGAAAGTGATTGGGAGATTTGGTCAGGCTGATGTGCGCCGTAATTCTGAATGGGGGCCTCGGGATGGTCCGCGCCAATGGTTGGAGACCACGTCAGACATGGCGCAATCACGCAGTCAGTGGCGTTCTTACATCTGGATGTTAGGCTCCATTACATTCTGTTTAGTTTAACACAAAATACTAATTCCATTTTTCTTACAATCCATTTCATTTAACGTCAATTCCCGTTGATATTTGTTCTGGCAAGTGGATCCATCGCACTTCGGCGTCGGAGTCATAATTATTCAACTGAACTGAACCGATACTTTCTATTGTGATAAGTTTGGAGTGTTTTAGAAAGCGTACCCAGCGCAGTGCGAAAACAGCGGCAATGGAAACACAAAAACCATAGCTACATCACAAAGAATTGAAGTATTCCCGGAACTTGAAAGGGGACTACAAGAAAAGCATAAATGCATTCACATTATCCCGACTTTGTGATGTCAAACTCAGGGGCAAGCGATATAATTAACGCACGAGAGAAAAATGTTTTCCGATACGTGTGAGTGCTTACCTCGAACTGATTGGGATCGACTTCTGAGTTGCCTACGTGGGCACAAAACGACTCCAACTGATTTCCACGCAAAGTTAAGTGCTCCAATGAAGGTAATGCGCCAGCACCTAAGTGGCCCGACACATTTCGTAATTGACAAGCACGTGTTAATCTGTTAACGGGAGCGGAAAGGGGCGTTCAACGCGAAATCGCGATAAGGGAAGAGTAATAGAAAAGCGGCAAGCACATTACTACCGTACACCGGCTGCAAGTGAAAATCGTTAATGAGAGAATCGATTTGATTTGTTGCTCCGAGACACCTGAATTGGATGGGGTCAAGCAGAAGACCCTTAGAAAGTTGTGTAAACTGAATTTCCCTTGAGTAGTCGACCAATGCTGGATTGCAACATCAGGGGTGGGCTCAAAGTGTACTCGCGACAGGTTACATACCAGTCAAAAAAGAGGGAAGGGAGTGCACGTAAACAAGCCAATCAGGTCCGAATAAGAACGCGAACGTACAAGAATTTGAGCACAAGGTGTGAACAGTCCCACATTTATAAATTAACACCACTAGTGAAAGATGAGCGGCATTGAGTAAACAATGGTGAAAAGAGGAAAATGCTATCGTGCGAATGGTGATCTACAAAACGCCCAGCACTGTCGACTGACCAGAAGGCAGAACGACACCTTCAGCACGCTTATTAAGCTATACACAAACATATAAATATAGGTTCGTAGCAAGCATAGAACAGTTGACAAGAGAACGGTTTGGGTGCAATGGAATGGAGGAAAAATGGATCCAAATGGCTATGTGAGTGATGCAAGCGTATGAATAAGTGCTATTGTTGATGGAGAATTCCAAGTAGTGCAAGATGGAACAATCTTTCGTTTTAAAAACAGGAAAGCTGCAGTCGAAAAGGATAGCTTGAGAGAACACGTTACTAAAAAAGCCAAGAGACGAGGTATGGCAATGGAGAAATATCCAAATCAACAACTCCGTGTAGACAAAAGTCAGACACAGTAAAGGACGCAAGTTCCGGCAGAAAAACCATGTGCACAAGCCTTGAAACGAGAGGAGTAAAAGCAAGCGATGTACTGTTAAGATGAACTGCTGAAGTCATGTCATACGAAATACGCAACGTATCAGCGACTAGTCGGCTAAAATTAAAAGGATCAAAGTTATCGCTTTATGCATTCATCATGCGGCTAGTTAACTCCCAAAGCGTTCTGAGGGAATTTCCTTCCCAAAGTCGTACAGAGAGGATCATAATCCCATGAACAGCTAGTACACCGTCACCATTTGAAACTCGTGCACCACAGTACGCTAGATGGAAGGCAGCGCTTCATGTCATAGCCCACAATGACAGGAGAGAACCGCTCAGTGTGTAGAGTCCCGCGATGGGAGAGTGACTTGATGCGCATGAGAAGAGGACAACGAAAGAATGACGGGGAACCTAGCAGAAACGATTCGACATAAGAATTGGTTAACAGTCGCGCGAAACACGTTGAGTCACATTGCCACGGACCACACAGTGATGAGATGAAATATCAATTGCATTCCAAGGCATTGTCGTTCTGTAAGTCGGCAGCTCAAACTAAGCGTTTACAGTGACCGTGAAGCCTGGTGGTCCCAGTGTGCTTCGGAAATGAAGGCCGCCGCCCCCACTGGCAATATTCGCAAGTTCTTCCAACTCATTTGATACACTGGCCACAGAAAACTTGGTATTAGTGAGACAATTGGCGAAGCGAATGGTTCACCGATTGCCAACTTACAGAGACGCTTACAAGGATGGGCCGAACATTTACATTCCCTGTTCAATTGGCCACCATCATCCACTTATATGCCCTGCAAACCCAGCAGCTCGCCCTCGGTAGTCAAACTTGATCCACTCAGCGAAGTGGAACGCTATCTTGCGATTCGACGCTTGAAACGATCCAAGGCTGCCGGCTCAGACGGAGTTCCTCCGGAGCTGTTCAAGTATGGAGGCTCAGTTATCATTAGCCAGCTAAGCTGTGTTATCCAAAATCTGGCATAAAGAAAAGGTGCCTTCCTCCTGAAGCGAGTCAATTATCGTGCTTGCAATTCATGCGCCACTCACCGGGGGATTAGTTTCATTTCAGTTGCCTCCAAGCTACTGGCATGCATTCTACTCCGCAGACTATCTCTCATTCGAAAATCGCAGTACCGGGAAGAAGCAACTGACTTCCGTCCTGGCCGTTGGCGTGTGAATCAGATATTCATATTTCCTCAAATCCTGGAACACTGCCACCTTTACCAAGGTCTACAGTAAAATGTGTTCGCTCAGTGGTGAAATTGATTTAGATATTCCCAGGCATTCGTCGAATGCTTACGAGTCTATCTATAGTGGTAGTCAGTTAGACTCATCTTAAAAGAATATAATAAGTCAACCACCAATCGAAAGGCACCACCAATCATCAACTGCCGAATTTTGGTCAAATGGTGAGTCGGTACCGCACGTCCAAGACAAAGTAGGCAAAAGTCGCCACCATACCAGCTTCATCACTCCTGAATCTAGTAGCATATCAAGTACGCACGTGAGAACTATCACCCAAATGAGTTGTACGAGAAGTATCCACCAAAGTGTCATCCAGTGTGCAACTCTTCAACATTCCAGACTCTGTAAACATTCTTGGGGCAGCGGATGCTAGTTGCACTGCATCCGACATACAACCGAGCTTTGTCAATGTCTTTAGAGTGCCCAAGAGGATCCAGGTTTTTACAGCACCAATTAGGCTGAGTTCGACAGATCAAACTACTGTAAATACAATGATTAGTAAGCTAACTGTTATCCGACCAATGCCAAACCCAACAAATGTTTGCTCTAGTAAACCGCTGTCTCGACCACTGGCACCTACCCGGATGAACAGGGATTCACCAAATAACAACAGTAATCGATCCACGCCGTGTCATGCTAACATTGTCAAGACACCATCATCTATTATAGGTGCCATCGCGAGGCAGTATCGTACAACCAACTGAAACCACTTACTGAAGTGTTGATTCAACAATAGGATCAAAATGAGTAAAATCGTGTATACACACACTACTGGCACTCAAAGTTCCGCATTCCGTGAGCATCGACTAAGTTACTAGCATCAAAGAAGTAGTAATTGAGAAGAGTAATGTTTGCCTACGCGCGCAAAGACAGCCACAGATCCCCTACGCAATCTTGTCCCATACTAGTGCAATTGAAGAGTCAGAATGATGTGAACCAGTTGTTAAACGAAGAGCACAACATACGTTAACTCAGTGGACTCCAGGACATTATCATCCAAAAAAGAGTGGCGTTCACAAACGTGCCAGACATTCTAACACAGCATCTTTGCCCAGATGCAGCGCCTGTCGACAAGCTGCCGTTATGCGCCAACAGAATTCCACCTCCATATGTATGTAACACTAACTCTGAGGGTTCTAATGGGGTACATGCGGCTAACCACAATCGTTTTTATGGTATCCGGTCGTGATCACCACTCCAGTCAACGTTTCCGGCGATGGTTCGCGACCAAGGAACAACCCAACTGGTCCTGAAGTGGCTAGACCATCCAAGAGCACATCTAGCCTCCAGCCAGTGCACTTCAATTCACCCACACCCGCGGTTCCCTGTGAAGTACAGCAACTTATCAGGAACGTATTAGAATCTCCTAGACCGCGAAACGATCGTCTACTCTTACTTATCAACGCTCGTTCTCTTCCTAACAAAATGCACATGCTTCAACCCATGGCTGCACTTGTTTACCCTCACCTGCTGCTCATTAGTGAAACTTGGTGTAGTGACGAAACACCAAATACGGTTATTTAACTACCGTGCTATAAACTAATTCACAAAAGTCATCTAACGGGTAGAGGTGGGGGCTGTTCTATTTACGTTCGACAAGACCTCTGGGTGGAGGAATTGACTGACTCTCATCAGTACTCAGTTGATGACTCCGTTGAAATAAGGACATTCTTTAACAATCTAGACTTATTGGTGGGCTGCGTCTATAACCCACCACCTTGCGACGACTCCGTACTTGTCAAACCTAGGAAGGCCTTCCAGTTCGCAGCAAGACATTACTCTATAGGGAAGATGATTGCTGGGGACTTCAACATGCCAGGAGTGTCATGCGCTTCACTCACTGATTCTCAAAAATACGCAGACTACTTAGCAAGCATCGGTATAACAGGTTGGATACAACAAGTTACCTCCACCACATGTATGAACAACAGGCTGGATCTAGTATTCACTCTTAACCTCCCAAATGTTGAGTTAACTGTCCTGGGTAAATTCCCAGACAGTGATGATAACATTGTTAAGTACTGTATTACCTCTACCTGGAACCATGGAAACTCTACCATATTATATCGTCCCATACGATCTGTCGATTGATCTCAATTCTTCAGACTTGTTCGGTCTCTCAAATGCGCTACTTTTTTCTTGACCAGAAATGTCGAAGAGTCTGTGTCAGAGCTTCTGACAAATTTGTTAACATGTATAGACATACTCGCGACAATGGAACGAATGCTAGTTCCAGAGAATAGAACCACCAAGAGTACGTCGCAAGCTACGCAAACACAACCTCAGCTTTAGCTCAAGCACACAGTTGAAGTTCATGGAGGTTGATGAATACAACTTAAGAAACCGAGAATTTATTCTTCCCCAACAAAAGTTCACGTTGCAGCTTCGTGCAAACTTCTTCGTAGTTCCATACTCATCATCATCATCATCATTACACGTTAGCTGGAGGTGGAAAACACCTCAGCTATTGTGCCGCAATACAAAAGGCAAGAAAAGAAAAGAAAACAACAACAACAAACAAACAATGGCACGCCCGCTGAGTCCCCAGTAACGGATGGACATCGTTCCGGAGAGCTAACAGCTGGCTGCCGTAAAAGAAAGTCATATTATGCCTAACGATTGAGATCGTGATTGGAGGGGGATGCTAAACAGGAGGGGGATGGACAAAGGAACTCACAACACAAACGCCATTGGGGCCGGCTCCTAGCCATATCAGCAAGTGTGTCCAGCCAAACGTGTTCACCGTCCTTAGGACCCCAGCCAGGCAGTCGGGATGCACCAACCGACGCCAACTTCGAAGTGAGGGTTTTCATTTCTCGCGACCAAGTCATCACTTGGCCTCCCCTCCTCCTCTTCCAACCGCACCCACAACGCG